ATATGATAAAGTAACATGTTGCTTTAACATTAAGGTCAACTTTTTAAACAAGGTAGATATTATTTATAGCGTTTGAGTCCAGGATTTAATCCGAAAGAACAAAGATACTTCAATTGAACATTCTTTAAATGTCTTAAGTATAAATCTTTCTATATTATTACCCCATTTTTCTATCAGTTGACATATAGTAGGTATTTATTTCTTATTTGAATTGAAATTGTCCTCGTGTTTGATCAACTGCAATACGCCAATTAGAAGAAAAATAGTTGATCGCGTTTCTTTAGCCTTTGTTTACTTTATAACCTTTTTCCAACAATAACTGACATGTGGACATTTAAATACTTAAATCGGAACTATGAGTGTGTGGATAGGGTGTCCTTCATTTCTGTATTCGTTAATTTGTAGCCCATTTTCCTCTATTCTTTAAATATTTGGCCCATTATTCTCAATTCTTTGTATTTAAGCACCCCATTATTATCTATTCTTTATTTGTTTTGGTCCATTTTTCTCTATTCTTTATATTTCCCCCCTTTACTCTGCACTTTTTGCCCGTTATTCGCTTTTCTATATACCCCATCAAGACCCTCCTTTATTTTGGTGGATTAAATCGGTTGAAGACACGCATGTTTTTATGAAATAATGATATTTCAACAGGTGAAAGCTGTGAAAAAAACATAAAAAGGAAAGAAAGCCAAGTTAAGGTCGAAATATAAAAAACCTGTCATTTTAAAACAGATTATATACCGGATTCTATTGTTATATTTTTTTATTCTTCGGATATTGTCAAATTCAAAATGAGTACAAATTCAAAAATGTATCATTTAAAACATATTAGTTTGGAAAGGTGACTTCTTAAGAAGACAGAAGTATGGTCGATTTGATATCCGCTATAAAGTGGAGTCGATACCTGTTACTCTAGAAACTAGTCCGGTTACTCTAGAAACTAGTCCATAGTCGACACCTGTTACTACAGAAGCTACTCCGTGCTCAGTCAAGACAGTGAAAATGAGTAGTCATGGTTGAGGTGTATGATCTTTGTGTCTTTGATAAATTCGGGCTAATGTGAATAAGAGAATATCGCACAATTCTATTATATCTGTAAATTTCATTTTAGGTATTACCGTATAGTTCGTATTTTAAAATTATATGGTCAGTCCATTGATTTTAATTTTCTTTTTCATCCTTACAGAATTATTATAAACATGCATGCAGTATGATGGCCCTATTAATAAAGGATATTTTTAAAACTCTTGTGTTGTTGGGCAACCGCGGCAAAACGGCATTCATGGCATTAAGTTTTTTCCATTCAGTTTAGTCTGTCAGTTTCGATTGATTATAGATGACAAAAGATATTTTGTATATACTTAACAAATAAAAAAAACTGACGTGAATCATAAGTCGAAAATGATGGACCGCTGATCAACACGACTGGTCCACTGTGGCGCCCGTTTGACCGTGTGGAATGTATAAATACCCAAACACGTCCGGTCTGAATGTAGACATAAAAAAGCCTATATATACATCGTGTAGAAAGCCACATGCGGGGTGTTGGCTATGTTTGACACGGGGTGGCGGTGTTGGAGCGGAGAAAAGGCGATCAAGGTAAGTAAAAGTATCAAAATTTCTTTTTTGAGAATTGTTAGCTCCAAATAATGTATTGCACAGAAGGAACCGAACCATAATCTATTTCCAGCAAGCAGACATTCCCAGTGCTCCGTCTTCTCAAACACCTCTCCCCAGTTTTCCGCGTTGCAGATTTTGAGACTTCAAATACAAGTACAATTTTTGACGATTTTTCCACGTATGACTTATAAAGAAATGAATTCCTATCATAGAATTTAACCAAGTGGACTGCTTCTTAGTCAAAATTTATTGGTTTTAAAGTTAATTTTTCATCGAAATGTAATGTGTCGCTCGGGGTGTCAGATTGTGCGTCTCAATGGGGTGAGGAATTTATCAAAACACGGATAGATTTGCCTATAAATCGGTCTTTATCTGATAGTTTTCTATTCAAACACACCTACTCTGTTGATGACTCATTACAAACTAGAGCATGTAGAGGTACGGGGTATTTCATTTGGCCCATATTTTAGTTTTTTAAGTAATGTGCATTTTAATGTTAGAAATAGAGAAAAATCCTAAAAGCATTTTTTTTGTACCTGAACATGATTTGTTTTCCTTTTCAGTTACTATCATGGTCAGGAAGAAGTCACGGCTAAGGCTTAATGCACCAAAACATGGAGCAAAATCACAGAGCAGATCTCCGTATAATATTTTCCCGAATCCACCAACACATAAATTTCATAAAAAATTTTCTCCAGTTTCCTCTACAAAGCACACGTGCACGCCACCAAAAGGACTTCAAACCACTGGCCGAGGTTCAGGCGTACACTTTTGAAAGGCCTTGCTACGCCACTGAGCGCCTGTGAAATATCTTTGAGAAAAAAAATCAGACAATCACGTGCAAAGATCGTCACTCACGTTATATACAAAGCATGGCGAAAATGATGGCTATGTTTTGTCAATAAAGGTTCAATGAGTGAAAATGTTTTTATCATTATGATATTGTACTATTAAAAGGACAGTAAATATACCCTCAATATAAAATCAGAAGCTGTGGATATGCAAGCCAATGTGACAAGCAAATAAAAGCCATTTCACGGCCTTATTTAAACAATGCAAACCACATATCGTATAGTCAGAGTATAAAAGGCCCCGACTTGACAAAATGTGTAACAATTCAAGAGAAAAAAACAAACGGCCTGAGTTATTACAAAACAATAAACGAAAAAAAATATGACGCATAGCAACAATGAACAACCCGCACTGAATAACGGGATCCTGACTTGGGACAATCAAAAGTGTTTCTGCGGTGCCTTTCTTCTGTGAATTATTGTTTTTTTTATATATATATATGTTTAACTTTTCGCTACCTGCTTATTTGCTATATACATGCATATCTGGCTATATGCCAAAGTTATCAGAGTGCTTTCATATGCATGATGTGGATTTTTAAAATTCCTGACTGCGATCTCTGGGTAAATGTTTTGTTTTCAAATCATAATATATAGTCGTTATACTTGTGCAACAATTTGAATGTACTTTTAATTTGTGTGCTATTTTTATTTGATTTTTTTTATATTCTTAGTCCATTTGATGATTATGTGTGTAATTTTTTGTTTGCCTATATATATCTGCATATTTTAGTGGACTATTTGACCTTTTTAGAATCTAAAGGACTATGGGTAATCTCATTGTTCGTACACAAAATGAAAACAGCGTTACTTCATTGGTTGATTTTTCATTGTTTACATGACGTTTTAAACCAATTACATATTTTGGTGTACGCTTTTGAAAATATTGCCCAGAATTCATTAGATTCTGAAACGGCAAATTGCCGGATGATGGTGTTTTTTTTATATACATATGGCTGCATGCAGTCTTTTCGTAAGAGCTTTCTTTTCGGTTTATTTGTTTTGTTAGATGTGATATATGTGCCCATTTTAAATAAATTTACTTATATATTCTTATAAAACTTTCATTTTGCTGGAACATGTATTGGCATATTTTTTTGGACCACCCTAATGTGTATTGTCTGCACGTGATTGATTTTTTTTCTCAAAGATATATTTCACAGGCGCTCAGTGGCGTAGCAAGGCCTTTCAAAAGTGTATACGCCTGAACCTCGGCCAGTGGTTTGAAGGCCCCAGCGGCCTCAGGACAGAGGACCTTCGGGTAGGGGGCGAAACCCCCGGAAGCTCACGTGTTATCGTGAAAATGATACCATTTCTGTCATTCAAAATTCATCAATAGCAACATACTTGGTCGGTTGAGAACAAAACTCCTACATAAGAGATGATTGCAACTTCCCAGTTGTAAACTTTCCATTTCTATGTAGCATCATTCAAGTAGAACCTGCATATGGAGTATATATCTCCCAGTTGATACGATATTTCAGCACTTGCATTCGCATCATGATTTCCTTGAGTGAGGTGGCTACTTACATGCAAGGAAGCTATTAAACCAAGAGTTCCAAGTGGTGAAGTTGAAAGCTTCCTTTCGAAAATTTTAAGGTAGCTATCACGAGTTGGTTGACTGTTTAACAGATGACGACGGACATGACCCATTGTTGTAACCACAATTCCCGAATTTGACCTACCGAATTAGACTTACCACTGAGTTTTTACTTACATATGAGCAACATGACGGGTGCCATATGTCGAACAGGATGTGCTTACCTTTCTGGAGCACATGAGATCATCAGCCCCGGTTTTAGGTTGGGTTCGTATTACCTAGTCTAGTTTTCTATGTTTTCTTTTGTGCACTGTTATTGGTCTTTTCGTCGTTTTTCGTCTTTTGCCATGGCATTGTCATTTTGTTTTCAACTGATGATTTTGAATATCCCTTCGGTATCTTTCGCCTCTCTTTTAAAGTTTGATTTTGTTTTTTTTTTCGTGTTGATTTGGAATCTAATGGTCCTTTGTTTTAGAGAAAATGTCCAAAGCAATTATACTTTAGAATATGTTTAAAAGGAGAAATCAATCAATCGACAAAAAAATCAAAACTTTATAAAAATAGTAAAAAAAGCAAGTTCTATTAATTATTTTATCTTCATATAATTTTCACACCTTTTTACGGGAAAAATTTGTTAATGGACGTATGAAATGATTAAGGTATAACATAAAAATGCAAGCTACACATATTGTATACCAGCAGATACTAAATTTCTTTAAACAATTAATAGTTATCTGAGTAGAGTATCCACAGTAGATTCAAAGTTTGAGAGAAAATGAACAAATATATAATATGATACCATTTAATTAAAAAGTCGGCTCAAAAATTAATATTTCCCAAGTGCAGTCACATCATTATTATTTGGGCATTATTTTTTTCTTTATTCTTTATGAATGTTTTAATCAAAATAAATAAACTTAATTTGTTCGAGAGAAATATGGCGCGAAATATTACCTCCTCATGACGATTATTCAAGTCACGTGATCAATTCAATATGGCAGCGACCAGGCGGCTTCAGAAGGTAAACAATCGAAAAAACGCTGTGGTCTTTTCTATTTGAAAGTATAATAGTCAATAAAGTGATATTATATATCTTAGATGCATGGGTTATTCCATTTCATTTAAACCCAGCCATGTTCAACATACATTTTTTCGTGAAAACGAATTTATGAACGTGGGTCGCTCGAACCCAGCAACAGCAAAAATAACTCAGAAACGACAATCGATATATGTTTTTCGTACATTCATTAGACAAATTGTATTTGAGAAAGAACAATTTTGTTAATAAAGGGTTAAACTCCTGTATACAGTAGTAGCTTTTATTGTTTATTAAATGAAAATTAGAAATTCCAGATTATATATGGTTCCTGGTTGATGTATTTTTTTATGATTATCAATTATGTATTGACTTCATGTAGAGTGTCTACCAAGATAAGTGAAAATGAATGTTGAAGAGGTTGAATATAATACAGAAGAGATTTTTTTAATGCCAGCTTATTTTGAAAATAGTTTTGGTTTATAACAATATATTGCACATTGTTATGTAATACATGCATATGAAATTAATGAGATAACTACATTTTGTATCCACCAGAGTTAAAATGAGGTGGTTAAAAGCAGTTATAGGTCAATGTATTGCATTCAACAATGAGAAATCTCCATAACATATAGTCTGCTTTAATAGACCTTGACTGGAAAAAATGTGAAACAAATCAAGCTAGAAAACTAACTGCCTAATTTATAACAATACAACTATGGGTATTATTTTTAATTTTCTTACCGCCTCTTTTAATATTTACTACAGTGTCACTGTGTATCTACAAAATGAGTAGAAATGTTCTACAAATATCAGCGACTCTTTCTAAAGCAATAACCTATTTTTTCACCGGTAAAGGTGGCTGCAGACATTCGGTCGACTAAGAACATGAAGGGGAAAATTATTTGGAAGACAGCTGCAGTCTTGGAAATTCAGTACAACTGAATTTCAAACTCAACATAAACTGAAACAAGCTCTTTGATTTACTATCATCATAGTTTTATCTTAAATTCAAGTTTACTTTATTTTTTTTAAGTCCAAAAAATTCATTCATGACTTACTCATGGTATTTTGTTATCATGTGTATTTATGTGTTTACATTGTAACATTAAAAAAGAATAGAACTTGTATAGAAATAAGGAGATGTGGTATGATTGCCAATGAGACAACTTTCCACCAGAGTTTAAATGATGAAGATAAAAGCAATAATAGGTAACTGTTGGCCTTCAACAATGAAGAAAACCCATACCATATATTCAGCTGTAAAGTGTCCAGACATGAAAAATGTGAAAAAATCAAATGAGAAAACTAACTGCCTAATTTGTACGTATATATACAATACAATATATGACAAAACAAATATGGCAGATTTAAATTTGAACCAATGACAACCACTGAACTATAAGCTCCTGACTTAGGACAGGCACATACATACATAGAGATTGTGATGGGGTTTAACATGTTTGTGAGCACTCAACCTTCCTCATTATTTAAATATTTTTCTGTGTTTTACACAGCTAAGCCAATACTAACTTCTTGTTGATTGCAGTACAGGAGTAGGAAATTGTGAAATCTGTTCACAGATTTTCAATTTTTTCTAGTTTATTTGGCCTTTAAAAAATTTGGCACTAGAAAATGAGTAATAACAAATGTAAACATGGAATGCGATGTTAACAAATTTGTATTAATATTGAACACTTTTCTCTTTTTACAGGAATTGGGAGACTTAAGAAAGGCAGATTTAAAAACGTTTAGAAATATTATTGTAGATGAATCGAATATACTGAAATGGGAAGGGTTAATAGTTCCAGTAAGTGTCATCAATATTTGCATGATTTAACATTTTTACTTCCAACAAGTGTTAAGGCCATGCTAAAATGATTGTTTGTTTCCCCTAATTCCCCTGCCTGGTCTGCTTTCAAAATAAAATGTTGGTTGTCACAACTTCTATGGCTTTCAATAGAAGCAGGTATCCGGCAGTTTTCTCCATCTATAGCACAGAAATCAGCGGGCTACTTTGCCTCAAAGTATATTGTTGAAAATCACAAAAAAAATGTTTTAGAGAGAGCTCGATATGTTAACATTAGTTTTATTTTAACCTTGTCATGTTTTATATTAAACTTCTTTGTTGTGTATTCATATATGTGGGAACAGGATCGTTGTAAGTCTCTCCGTTAGAGTAATGCAACAATAGTAGTTACCAGTTGATGTCATTCCAAGTATTGTTCGTAAGACAATTACTGATTTGCAGATCGACAAGTCTTTTAATTAACTGGACTACGATTGGTTCACTTATTGTAGCATATCATGGCAAAACGTAAACAATGCGAATACCCATTGGGTACAAAAAGTAAGGAAACAAGGTGACTAATAAAAAAAATCTGGATGACAACTGATTGAATGAATGACAATGATTGTTGGGAAAAGAAAAGATATCTTTCTCATAATGTAGATCTATTTTCTGACCCTAATTTTACGTAATTTTGCTGACAGCCCCTTACATGCTGTCTAAACAAATACACAAAGAAAAGGGGTCATGACAGCAAAGATAAGAAAACAGAATATTGCCACATCAATGAGTAACCTATAACAATATACCTTATGGGTAGTACTCTATATTTAATGGAGGAGCTGTTTTCTTCTGTAGAATGTTAAAACTGAAATGATAACCATACATGTATATATAAGGATCAGTTAAGAAGAAAACAATCAATACATGTAATATACCAGTTTTAATGCCCTGTACATGTATCATATGGCTTGTATACTCTTCTTTAATTGTTTAAAAAAATCTTTTTTGGTTTGTAATGATAGAAAATTTCTAAAAAGCTTTGTTACCAAAATTTTAAATTTACCAAAGATTCCAAGAGGCAGTAAATGATTTAATTAACAAAAGACATTAGCTTGGTATACTTGGTATACTTCAAAATTTTAATGAGGTAATGTAAACCAAAATTCATTAAAAAAATGAAAACTTCACACAAAAAAATTGCAATCTGAAAGTTGTAATTATGTGCCAGGAGACTGCCAGAATGCAGAATTTTGCTTTAAAAAAACCCCAGTGGTTCAGGGGGGCCTTCAGCGACCCCATACTCCAAGTCGTAAAAAACGGCAAGCCAGCTCCCCACAGAGGACGGCACAGCCGTCTGCATTGGAAGTTGACTACTTTTTGGTTTCAGCCTCCTACTTCAAATTCTATTGAAAGTCCTGATCTTCCCACATCAAACATGTCAGATAGCCTAGCTTTTAGTATATATATTCAGTGACAAGAAAATTTGTTTGACCCTTTTATTGGGCAATACTGCTGATTGATCAGATTGAAAATGTTGCACAATACTTTTTACATAAAACTTTTTAAATTGTATTTAAAAGCAATTTTGATTCATATTTACATATATGTTAATATTGTATTATTTTGTGATATTTCAGGATCAGGTTCCATTCAATAAAGGGGCGTTTAAAGTAGAGATTAACTTTCCTGCAGAATATCCATTCAAACCACCAAAAGTTACGTTCAAAACAAAAATATACCATCCTAATATTGATGAAAAAGGACAGGTGTGTCTACCTATCATTAGCCCAGAGCACTGGAAACCAGCTACAAAAACAGATCAAGGTAATGTGTGCATAGATAGAAGTTATGCAAGAAACAATCAATCTATCAATTAAACTGCGTCATGTGCAGAAGGTTGTGGGTTCAAACCTAGGCTGGGTCAAACCAGAGACTTTAAAATTGGTGTTGGCAGCTTCTCCCCTAACCATGGGGCATTAAAGAGTAAGAGCAAAGGAATGATTGGTTTGAGTCAGAATAATGTGTCCAGGTAGGGTGACATGTCTTCCTGCAGACTGTTACCTTGTAAACTAGCATGCAAAAAATCTGCATCAGCGTGTCAGTCTAGTACAAAGCAGGGTTGATATTTATATTACGTTAACATATCTTATCCTGAATATATAATGCATTTAATTTGTTTCTGGACATGACCGTGAAGCAGCCAATCATCATTCATCATCCTCAATAAAGGATTATTTTGATGAACTTTAATGATTTTTTCAAAAATTATCATGCTACTGAATTCAGTCATGCATTTTCTAGGTTTTTTTCTCTAAAATCCAGATTTCTAAGCAAGGGTGCGGATTATAGAGTACTATAAGCAAGAAATAGGAGAAAAACTTGATTCTGTGATGTTTGTTTACATCTGCCAGGTTTGTTATTGAAAATGTAGAGGACACCCTCATTTCTTTTCAAAACTATTAATTTACCTTATCCATATGAATTTGCAATTTTTGTCTTGACTGCGATGAAAGTCTCAGAAAGCGAGACATAGGGATTGCTTTTCCGGCGAAGGCGTCAACAATTGTTAAGTTTTCTGTATAGGTAAGTTTGATAGAAACTACTTGTGATAGATCATTGATATTTAATATAAAGTTGCATATCTATCAGTACATATCAGATTGAAGACTATTTCGAGGCCCTTGCCCCCTATGTCATGGTCCAGTGACTTTGAATTAATTAGCGATTTTCAATGTTAAGTTTTCTGCTTAAGTTAGTATAATAGGTTCTACTTGTGATAGATCAATGATATTTTGTATGAAGTCCCATTACTATCTGAACATATCAGTTTGGTGACTATTTTGAGGCTATGCCCCCTAGGTCATAGTCCAGTGACTTTGAATTAATTAGCAATTTTCTATGTTAAGTTTTCTGCTTAAGTTAGTTTGATAGGATGTACTTGTGATAGATCAATGATATTTTGTATTTCGAGGCCCTGCCCACTAGGTAATTTTCCAGCGACTGAATTAATAAACCATGTTGCTGTCCATCAGATTGTCTTTTTCTGAATTTTATGCCGACAGACGAGACATATCTCTGTGTTAACAGTTTATTGTTTAAAATTCAAATATTAAATGATACTTATCAGAAACAAATGCTTCTTCACATATTTCTCATTTCATAGCATTTGCATAACTTAAAACTCAAATCCAGTTGTTAACAACACTCTGAAAAAAGTACAGAAATCAGCCGGGAACCAGCTAAACATAACGATGTATAAACTACAAAAGTAATCCGTTATTCGTTCTTTTTTGTATTTCATACTGCTGCATGTGTTTAATTTTAGTTATAGGTTTGTCAAACATTAATGTGATGAATATATTTGACAGTATTCACTAAAGAATGGAAGTGTCTTAGTTTCAAAGTTGTATTCTTTAGTTATACTATTAAGTATGGATTTTCAGCACACTCTCACCGTATTTGCTTGCGATTTACACTTTCTGTTCCAATATCTGGTTAATGGAAAATACAACTTTTACAATTATTTTTCTTGTGATTTTGGCTTATTTTAACAGAATCATTTACCATCATTTTCAACTTCTAATTGATGATGGAAATAGCTTTTTCCATGAGCTGTTTTCCATGAAAATACCGCAAACGATCGCACACGCTTTTAAATTAACAAAGTTCCCTAGATGATTTCAACAAGTGAAAAAAAAAGATTTTTTGCTGAATTCCCGGTTGGGAAAAGGGGGGTGCGGACAATATACCAGTGTGGACTTTACAAGGCAGATTATGGGGTAACTGTTATGAATAAACAGAAACTGTACATACATGACATAGTACAAATCATCATCGAGGTGTTGTCAAGACGTTGTAAATGATGTTGCATCTAATCAAATGAGAATGCTTAGAAAAAGATATGGTTCCCTTCATTTTCTACTTTTATTTTCATTAAAAAGTCCTTGGTCAATGTAATAAAAAAAAATAACTTACTAATCCAAGAATTAAAATATCTAAAATATTCAACTCATGACCGAACAAAACTGTTGATTAACTCATACGCTACTCTCATGTGTGAATTATGTGAATTTCATGTGATGTTCGGTCACTTGTTGAATATTTTTCTATGTCTGAATTCTTGGATTAGTTATTCTGTAATTATCTGGCTAACAATTATGTAGAGACGGAACCTATAAAGGCAAAAATAGTAAACGTTTAGGGAGATGGTTGAGCTCCTACAAATGTGTTTTACTACACCACATGTGAATAATTTCTTTTCTATTTTCAGTTATACAATCACTAATAGCCTTAGTTCATGAGCCTGAACCTGGCCACCCACTCAGACCGGACTTAGCTGAAGAATTTACTAGGGATAAGAAGAAATTTTTTAAAAATGCAGATGATTATACTAAAAAGCACAGCGAAAAAAGACCAACAGATTAAATGTGATAAATATATATAGACATGGCAGTGATTAATTAATTCCTTGGTTTTTAGTGCTTTCAGATTAATTTATGTTCTAGGAGAAGCATTTCTTATAGTAATTGATACAGTTTTCAGTTAAAGGATTATTTTCAGAATAAAGAGATTGAGAATTCAAAGCTTAAGTAAGACATACACATATCCATTTAGATTTTGAATTTTCAGCACCATAATGTACAATTTAACATGTAATTTATTGTAATTAATTAATACAAATAGTTTTGATTTATCTCCTATGATACAACATGTACAAGGGGGAATAATTTAGTATGATTCGAAAAAAAATTTAAATTAAACTTGAGCAAAGAATGTAATAATAAATTTTGGCAAAAGACAGCAGTGATAAAAAAAAAAATCAACTGCAAAGTAAAATATATGTATACACACAATGTAACATGTTATCATGTAATTAATTAATATAAGTGGTTTTGATTTATCACTTATAATACGAAGGGGAATAATTCAGGTTAAGTCAATGCAATATTAAATTTTGGCAGAAAACAGCTGTGATCCCTCTTAGAACTGCATTAGAGAGTAAAAATTTGGTTGTTGCAAAATTTTATTTACTGGAAAGTAATGAAATCTAGGAATTAATTGTCAACTTGTTGCAGTCAATGTGTGATTATTCCATACAATTTGTTTTAGTGATTTATCATCAAGACTTTTTATTTACATTTGATTGATGCTTACAAGATAATGCTCCTGAATTTGTTTGTTGAATGTACTATTTGATAGAATGATAAGGCTACTGCAAGGATTAAGCCCATTCAGTTTATATTGTTACAAGTCAGCAGAGGTGGAAAGACTTATATAACGTCAGATCTTATGATAAAAGAAACTTGTTGATTGTCCTGTTGCTTTTAATATGATTTGTAAGTTGGTTAAGTGAAGAGAATGGTAATCAGTGTTATCCACTGAAATGATTTATAGTAACTATTACATAAATTCTTTGCGATAAGTTAGGAAATTTTCTAAAAACTGGTGTTCCAACTCCCTCAAGCATAGTTGAACTGAAGTGGATTTGGCTATTTTTTTCGGTTTGTTTCGGTCATATAATTCTTCAAGCATATGAGTTTTCCATTCTTTGAATTTTAATTTTTCACATTGAGTTTCCATGATGAAGGTTGATCCAGAGAAGGGCTTCATTCACACCACATTTATAATGTATTATTTTAATTTTGCAGTATATGACTTTGACATGGGATGAACCCACATTGACCGCATCATAGCCTGTTGTCGTTTGTCTTTCTACTTGGCAATGTTTTACATTTATGTATATGTCTTAGTAATTGACCTGATGTATTGGTATAAAAGAAGATTTTTTTGTTCTGTTTGTTTTTATCTTTTAATGTCAGGAATATTTCTGATTAATGTTTTTTTTCCTAAGGAAAATGCCAGCAGTTGATAATAACCTCATTGTGACATATTTTCTTTCCGTGTAACGGACTGGAGAATTTTTTTCAAGCTATTTCCGTTTATGTCTTCAAAATTGAGAAAAAAGAAGTTTAATTTTTTAATAAGAAGTGAAATTTACATGTAGTTAACATGTAATAGAAAATTTCTTTAGTATACTCAGATGAAGAGGAATTGATGGATTTCAAAGAAAACTGTGAATATATATGATTAACTTTGTTCATATCTTGTAATTGATCACATCTATGCTATTGCTTGCAAAGCTGGTTGAATATGTTTGGTGTCAACAGTAATCCAATCTGCTTGAACCCAAGTGGTATTGAATTGGAAAACCTTTGACTTGATTGAGGCAAGTTCACCATGAAAAATCTTTAGCATCAATTTCATTAAATGACAAATAATTACAGTAGAAGTATGTTGCTTTTGTAGTTTTCAATGGTTCATTTACAACCAGTAAAATTATGCTCAATAGAGAGTAAATAAACCCAGGGTTCAGATATTAACCATGGCATTATGTTTAGACCCATTTTAGTGTTTTCCTAAGCCTGCAGACTTTTTTTAGGATCTGTCATACATTGTAGTACAATAGGCCCAGTTTTCTGCAGAATTATTTGACCTGTAAGATGACCTTTAAATAAAAAAAATTGATATTGAATTGACCATTGACATTTCATTAAGAAATAAGAAGATAAGAATAAAAGGTCTATGAAAGAGACAATTGTGAACCTTTGCATAAACATTGCAATATCTTGAGAATTAAATAATGGACCATATATATGCATCATATTTGTAATTTGTCTTTCTATATATACCTGGTATTGGTTTTGTTCATCACAATTCTGTAAAGTGAGAACTTTTTTTGTAATATAAAATAAGACCAATGATTTCCACAAGATGTATAAGACATTAAAGATAGCATGTATGATGAATCTACTGTCTTTGTAATGTGAAAAGATCTGTTTAAGAAAATGAACTCTTTATTCTATGCTTTGTAGAAATTTTTAGATCGATTACTTCTTAAATATTTTTGGAGGCTGAAACAAATAAACTAATGTACTTCATAATTCCTGACAAAAGTTTTGGTATTTGTAGAAATAAAATTTTCATTGTTATTGAGTTTGATTAAGAAATTGTGTAAAATTTGAAACGTGCAAAGATCAATCTGAAGAGAATATAAAAAAAAACTTTGGCAGTAAAATTGAATGATTCTTGTGTTACATTTTTTACAGTACAGATATTTGATGTAAAATATCATTACAAAGTTCTCACTTTACAATAAATGTTTTACATGTTTTCATATAATTCGTTGTCTAGGATTACTATAATATCTTGAATTCAATCTGTCAATGTATACAAAGGATACATGTTCATATTCGACAAAATACTGTTAGGTGGTTTATTTTCCTTTGGATTTTAAATTTCATTATTTCTGATTTAAAACTTTATGCATTTTTCCTACCTGTATTTCTAATCTTCTTTTAAGATCAAATTAACAAGAAGGGATATTTTATTAATTTTAACATTATGTCAAAATTAGCCAAAATAAACCACTCACAAAAATTTCCACAACTAAATGACTTGCAAAGATGTCATATTACAATTTATTTCCATGATCATTTTATATATAAGTTAGTTGTTTTGGTGTCATTGGGAGGAAAAAAGACCAGAATTAGCAGGAGAAACAGATATTGGATTTTCTACACACTGATGTAGTAAAATATCATCTGCCAGCTACAATGAGAACATTTTTTGGCAAGTGAAGGGAATCAGTAAAAAAGTTTCATATTGTGTCTAGCGGTTGATGTTTTACGATATCTATATGCAGAAAACCCAATAGGTGTTTATCATGTTTTTTTGGTATTTTTTTTCCTTCCTTAGACAATTTTACGCTAGACAAAACTAAGCTTGATAACTTCTCACACATTGTAACAACAGTGATAACTTCTCCGACAACACAATGTCGTTGCTGATAACTTCTGCTTACACCTCAATGCTGTGATATTAGAATTAAAAACACTGAGAAGGGTGATGTAGGCAAAGAGATGTACAATAAGATGTTATAGTAATCTTAAGTCATGTGTAAAAGAAGTGTGCTTCATTCTTAATATTAAAAACTTTTGTGTTAGTGTTTATTTTTGCTGTAATAAAGTAATTATATTCATATGTTATCATAACTATACTTAGGTAAATAATATAAATGGGTATCTAGTAACCAATATAAATTATAAAATATATTAAGAGTATCTATTGGTAACATCTGAATTGATTGCTCATTAAAAAATAATGTACCAATTCCTCTTTAAAGTAAAATATTTTACATACATAACCTGTATATTGAATTACCTCCCCCTGGCTCTAATAATTATATGTGAATTATTCTAGATTAAGTTCAACCATTTATGTTTTTTGTTTAAGTGAGTGATACATTTGATATTAATTATTTTATAAACAAAAAAATGGACATTTTCACTTTTCTATGCTATGTCTGTAGCTAGGGTTACTGTGGGTTCATGTTGAAAGATGCACAAAATGTATATCTGATTGTATAATTTATAGTAAATATATAGCTGTTGTGACTTGTTACATAATACTTTGACTAGTAGCTGCCTTCAAGTTCATGGTTTGATAATGATGAAAAGATGGTTGAATTTGTCGAAAAATACATTTTCACTAAAAATATTCATAAGTAAACTATAACTTTCTTTCTGTACCTTTTATTTTTGATATTATACCTATATAAACCATGTCTGGTCAGGTCAAGTGAAGGTTGTAATACTTGGGAAGAAAAAGGACTAACATGGAGGATAGTTAAGATTTGTTTTTCAAATTTTAATTCCATCTATAAGAGAGTTCTGATATCATAGATAGTTCCTAAAACATTATTTATATAAAACAGTTATTCAAATTACAGACATTTCTTTACCAAAATTTGTATCTTGAAATTTAACGTGTTGAATTCTGTTCAAATCCAATGCATAGAGTGCATCTTCTGATTGGAACTATCTTATTTTGTGTTATTGACAGATAAATATTAGGATATATGAGAGCAATGACAAATTTTATGTACTTTAAATTTTCTGGCATAATATCAGGAGTAAAACACTTGAAAATTAATTTGTACATTATAATTTGATGGTCAGTTAACTCCCCATGTGATTGTTATTTCACTCATACTTTCAGAAAGTGTATATGCAATTCGGTCATATAAAGTAAATGTTATCTTTTCTGTTTGATTTTTTTTTGTCTTAAAATGGTAGAGTGTATGGTTTATCTTTAATATCCAACAAGAGTAAATAAAATATTTCACAACCTGTTTTTCTTTTGATGGAAGATAATAACAATACACATTATACATTTTCATTATTTTGTTCAACTAGTAAACTCTAGAATAAATTTACAGTTGACCATATTTGTCTCACCTGTGAGGATGCGAGACCAGGATTATAATCAGGCAGCAGTGACGGCGTAAATTATATTTATAAAGATTTATATTTCACAAAATAGAAGACCTGGATGTTTCATACCTTGTATCTAGATGCTCTATGTTCGAAGTTTCCGTCTGTCATATGTTCATTATCATTGACCCTTTCATGGTTCAGCAACTGCTTGAAACACATAGAGTTTTTTGTCATGTGAAAATCTCTCTCCTGAGTAATAGGATAACTATTCTTGGTATATGGGATCCTTGAAAGGTCTACATGTCTGTCAAGACGGGGTTCACCTGACATCGACCTCATTTCATGGACCATTGATCAAGGTTGAGTTCGCTATACGTATCACAGAAACTATAAGCAATAGATCCAACTATATTTTGTGTGTGCATAGATTGTTAGGTAAACATTTCTGTCTGTCAGGATTAATCTGACCTTGACCTCATTTTCATGGCTCACTAGTCCATGTTGAGTTTTCATGGTTGTGTCTGTTTCTCGGAAACTATAAGCGAAAGGTCAACTATATTCCAAGTATGGAATTCTTGCATCAGGATCATGTTGTCTGGCAGGTTTTATTTTTACCATAACCTCATTTGTATGGTTCATTGGTCAATGTTTAATTTTTCCTAATTAGGTCTGTTTCTCAGATACTAAGAGCAATAGGCTTACCATATTTGATGAATGGTATATAATTCAAACATGATGGGCAAAGCAGGCGAGACACTCTTGTTTTCCATTACGAGAGAGAGAAAAAATGTTGAACAGGATTGTTATCAAAAGGTGGCAATAACGTGAAACTATTTGTTTAAAGTTTTATATTTCAGAGGTAATGTTTTTTAAGTCCATTATTATGACGTCTATATACAACGTGTATTCTAAATGATCGTACTTTTTGACTTTTTGTTATCCTTGACTTCCTTTCATTGTGAAGTATCTTATTACTATCAATCTTATGTTATATTCTCTGGAAGTAGCAGTAAACGTCAATAATGTTTACGGTACCAATTGTACTACACCAAATGTGTGCGTTTGTACAATTAATGTCTCTATGCCAAATATTTGAAATTCCAAATCTTAATGGTAACGTTGAAGTGATGATAAAACCAAAAGGAACAAAAAGTATAGCCAAAATCCAAAAGTCCAAAAAGTAGGAGGAATCCAAGCTATGCATGGGGAAGAAAAAAAAACTCACTAAAGACATCAGGCTTATGATTGTGTACGCCTGATGCACGTTTTGTCTACAAGAGACACCCCAGTAAAACACGAATCAAAAAGGCCAAATCAAGTGCGAAGATTGATTTTTAAATTATCAATGTAGTTACTAATGTTCAAATGCAGCCAAAAAGCGAGACATAGGTATGCTGTTTCCGGTGGTGGTGTCAACAATGTATTAGTTTGTGTGATTAGGTCAAGTTTATGGTGAACCACTAGTGGTAGGTCAATGATATTTGGTATGCAGTTGTATTAGCATTGGCACATCTCATTTCAATGGAGATTATTTGGCCCTGTCCCCTCAGTCATGGTCTATTGACTTTGAAACTTTTGCTAAGTTTACATGTATTAGTTTGTGATTAGGTCAGTTTATGGGGAACCACTAGTGGTAGGTCAATGATATTTGGTATGAAGTTGTATAAGCATTGGCATATCTCATTTCCATGGAGATTATTTGGCTCTGCCCTCTCAGTCATGGTCTACTGACTCTGAAACTTTTGCTAAGTTTACATGTATTAGTTTGTGATTAGGTCAGTTCAAGGGGAACCATTAGTGGTAGGTTAATGATATTTGGTATGCAGTTGTATAAGCATTTGCAAATCTCATTTCCATGAAGAATATTTGGCCCCGCCCCCTCAGTCATGGTCTATTGACTTTGAAACTTTTGCTTAGTTTACATGTATTAGTTTGTGATTAGATCAGTTTAAGATGAACCGCTAATGTTAAGTCAATGATATTTGGTATGCAAATTTATTGGCATTTGCAAGTCTTTTTTCCATGGAGATTATATAGCCCACCCCCTAATCATGGTTCATTGACTTTGAAACTTTTACATAGTTTACAAATTAATGTTTGTGTTTAGGTTTGTTTAAAGGGAACGACTTATGATCTCATTTCCATGGAAATTGTTAAGCCCTGTACCTTCAGTCATGGTTCATTGACTTTGAATATTTACATAACTTGCATGTTAAAGTATTTCTATTTTAAATTCAACATTTGCATTATCAAAATTACAAAAAGGCGAAACATATCTCTGTGTTACCAGTTTATGAATATATAACAAAACAAAAGTATTTTATTATAAGAAGCTTAATTAGCGGTCCGTTTCATGATCATTCTGAAGGTAGAAGTTTTTTTTTATTATGCGTTTAAATGGTTATCGCATAAACCTTTACTCAATACCAGGATTAATTCATGTATAGCAGAAATAAACAAAAAGCAAGAAATTTGGAAAACGTCATATTCCTTACAGAATTTCTTATCGAGATTAGTTCTTTATAATTTGAGGTTGGTGAAAAATGGACCAGAAAAGCGCTTCGGACGCATGAAATTTTCATTTATTTTACAGCAATGGGTCGATACCTCTGCTGGTGGACTATCAGTCCCCGAGGGTATCATCAGCTCAGTAGTCAGTACTTTGGTACTGACATAATTTATAAAAAAACTTTCTAAAATTGTCCGTTTATAAATTTTGAAATTATAAAGAAACTAAGGTTTCAACTCCCTCAGGCAAAGTTGACCTTATATGGATTTGGCTATTTTTTTTTAGGTACTTTTTGGTCATTTAGCCCTTCCACTGTTTAGGTTCTTATACATCCTCGGCTTTCAAATATTCGGCTTTTAGCGTCCCTGATGAAGGTAGATCCAGAGAGCGCTTCGGACGCACGAAATTAATCACGTATTGTTTTCATTTATTTTAGTTCAGCAGTTTGGAATTATATCAGGGTTTTTAGTCTGGTTTACGCGCAAAATCTTCACAAATCACGCAGATTTGAGTGACTCATAAACCCTAAATAAAACATTTTAAAATATTTTAAAAACTATTATACAACTTTTGTTATACTATTTCGGGAGGACACACATGGCAACATATAAAATATATAATAAAATAGAGCATGAAAACGATGAATGTATAAAAGAGACAACAACCCGACCAAAGAGCAGAAAACAGCCAAAGGCCACCAATGGGTCTGCAAGGTAGCGAGAAAATCCCGCACCCGGAGGTGGACTTCAGCTAGCCACTCAACAATAATGTATACTAGTTAAGCGAAATGGACGCCACACTAAAGGCACATACAACAGAATGAACATTCCTTGATATAGTCTGTCATATTCCTTGTTATGACATTCTGACTTGGAAGGATTTCACATGGCTGGTGGTTAATGTATATCAAGAGATGCTTACCCTGCCGACGCACCTGGTATAGCTCCGATGTTTGTGCGTTTCCCTCAGTCTTTGCTTTCTATATTTATTTGTATGTGCTACATATATTTACGAGATCTGAAGATCGATAATCTACCGTTGGTTATGATTAACATCCATGTCTTGCGAAATCAAGGAGAGTAAAATAAGTTATTATTGTTTTTTAAAACCTTTTTGCATATCTATAAATTTACCCATATGATTATTTTATGTTGTTTTTAAAAAAAGGCATGCATGTCAACATACACATTTCTTCGTTGCTTTGTATTCCGTAATGTGTTATCCATCTGTCGTTCACGTGAATTGGCAGTCTCCAGCACTGTGATTTAGTAGACTACAAGCTTGAAAGATTTTCATGCATTTTTTTTATCTATAACGGGAGCGATCATGCGCGTTGGTTGACCGGTATGGACTATATGTGTCACAGATGACCACGGATATGTTCCAATTATAGCCATCATCCCTTTCTCTTTTCATCGATTATGATATAACAGAAAGAGACTTAAAATTACAACCTAACTCGAAAGCAACAGCAAAATAACGGGTGTCAGATGTAGAGCAGGATCTGCCTTTTCTTTCAGAGCACATGAGATCACCAATAGTTTTTTTTCAAAGGGGATTGCAGTTGCTTTTATTTTCAGTGTTCTACGCTGTGGTTTTTAATTTTTCACTTTTGTAGCCATCACATCGATCTCGTTTCTACAGTTGTTTCACCACTAACTGTAACTTATGTTTTGTATTTACCTGCAACAATTATCACGATGGGTGCCATTATAAGAGCAGGGACTTCTATATTTTCTCGGTTCATCTGTTTTTTGTAGGTAATTTTACTCATTTTTGCGTTTTCTGTTTTATGGATTGCTGTTTACGTTTTATTTAATTTTCAGTTTGACTAAGATGTTGTCCTTTTTAGGACTTATAATACCTTCTAAGTAACTTCTTCATTTTGTGTTGTCGATTTTTAAGAAGTCACTAAGAAATTTGATAAATAGATTCCACCAAGAGGAATTTTACAATGGTACAGTTACAATTGCATGTTAGTAAAATTATGCTCAGTGGTCAGAGATTTACAGTGGCATTATCTTTAGACCGGTTTTACTGTTTTCCGTTTTGTTACAAATTTAAGTCAGCCACAGATCCTTATCCTGCAGGATTTTTGAAGGATCTATCATGCTGGTAAATGTTGAAGTACAAGAGGCCCAGTTTTGTGAAGAATTAATTAGGCCTGCAAGATGCCCTTAGAAATGTTCGATATTGAATTGATCATTGACATTTCATTAAAAAGAATGATAAGAATAAAAGGTCTATGAAAGAAAATATTGTGAACCTCTGCATCAACATTGCAATTTCTTGAGAATTTAATATAAATGGACCATATATGCATCATATTTGTACTTTGTCTTTCTATATATACACGGTATTGGTTTTGTTCATCACAATTCTGTAAAGTGGGAACCTTTTAGGATA